GAGTCTTCAGTATGAAGATCTTTGGGCTCCAAATATTATATAAAATCCTGTAAAAATCTTTAAATATCAGGATTTTATCTCTAAGGCCATTCACCGGCCAAAGGCTTTGTCTTCTCCAGGGTGATCTTTTTCACCATGTTGGCTGAGAAGTAAGTCCCATTGGCGTTCACCTGAACTTGTTCCCTATTTTATTTAGGAATGCAGCCTTAGTGTGGCACTTGAGATACTGACACAAAGTGCTGGTTTGTGGTTCCTCCAAGCCACAGTATGGATGATGCCCTATACTATTTTTGTGGTGTAATAGACAAGAGGAACTGATGCCTTTTCATTTTGAAAGGATTTTCAGAGCTCCGTTGTTTGAAAATGGGGGGAGTTTGTGGAATATCTGAAAGTTGACTTAGAGAGATTTGGATTGTAGGTTGTAATATCTCTGTGTGTAAAGTTTAGGATACTAGATTGCTTTCGCAAAATATTCTATATTTTAAAAGTCCACAGAAACTTTCAGCGTTTGAGATACGGAAAATGTTACTTGTAGGTTTAGCCATTTAGTCCTATTTCGTTGGGAAAATTGAAGTAGATTGTTAGGAAATGCAGATGACATCAGAGTATCTCTAGGGATGTTTATAGGAGTCAGTTTTATTTAGACAGCATGATAGGCATGGAATTTTGGCTGTGGCAAAGTTAAGACTGGTGGTTCATATGGATGGTTTTTTTGCAGTACTTCTTAAAGGGTGTGTCTTGTGATAATGATGTCTAATTAATGCATTTTATTTATTTATTGTTAAAATGGTATACTGCCCTTCATCTGAAGATCTCCAGGAGGTTTACCGTTTACAGCATAAAAATGCAATATAAAGACACAAACTACATAATACAAACAAGAACAAAAACTAATAACCCCCCTCCCATAAACATGTTTAAAAGGATATAGGATGTCAATTTTTGTGATGTTTTGGCAAGGTGGGCTTGGGCAGGCAGGTGTGATACTATGTGTGTGGTTTGCCTTCTGGGGCTGCTGTGGTCAGTATGGTTGTGATGTGCCTGAGGTGTGAGGGTGTGTGTGTGTGTGTGTGTATGGCACTGTATATTGGAACACACTTGTGAATGGGTGGAGGGATTGTATTCTCAATGATAGGTTCAGCCCACTCTCAAGCATCTTTCCTAACCATCACTGTCGCTACGGTTGGTAAAGAGGAGATGCCCTCCAGGGCTTGGGAGTAAAAACCCCATGTACCTGGCAGGTAGAGCTCCAGAGGACCATCAGCTCCACACCTGCAACTGAGCTCTGCTCCTCACCCAGTTAAGCCCACAAAAAGGCATTTAGCAGGTGCCTGTCTGCAAAAGGCACTCTTGGATGTGGTTCATGGTATGTTGCAGTGTTGTGGCATTGTAAAGAAAGATTTTACATTGACGAGTTACATTGTCAGTTTCATTTGGCTACTTTTGTCTCCCAAACCGTTCAGTAGCCTGAGATTGATTCAGTTGCACTTTAGGGTTTTTAACCATGTGGGGAGCCTCCATGAGTATAGGAGATCCCCTGCTGCACACAGTGGGGGGGGGGGATGTTTGTGTTTCCTTAATGCCCCCCATGCATTTACTTCATCACTAACTCTGACCAAAGAGTTATTACAGCATAGCTGAAAGCATGTGCAGTATTTCTGAGGTGGTAATGATGGGCAGCTCTCTTAAAAGCTGCCACGTTAGGGGGGAAATATTAGACTTAATCATTAGAATTTATGTTCTTTGCAGGAGAGGATACTGGAAAAGGCAGTATAGCTTGCTTTGCTTCTAGCACCACATGTACATACTATTTCTGGTACTATAGGAAATTATTAGTTTGGGGATTATTTTGAAGTGAAATTTGCACAATAAATAAATTTGCTCTACAAATTCTGAAATTTGGTGTCACAGGAATGTCCTGTGAATGTCTGCAACCATATATAGGCAAGCTCTTGCTGTTCTGTGTATGTTCAAAAAGCGGGAGAAAGATTATTTTTGAGCTAAAGCATTCTCAGCTTTCACATGTGAACATAGACATTTGCAAAATTTCAGACAAGCTTTGTAAAATAAAAGAGTTGGGAACAATTTTGGGAGTCATTCCTAGGTAGCAGAAGCTTTCAGTGTGTAACAGGGATTGTAAAAAAAGAATTATGAGACTTGAAATCCACAGAACCTCAAAAAAGAAGGGATGTTGCTTTTCTGTCAATACGTTCAGCATACATGGACGGCTTTATTTGGTCTTCATGCATATTGCTTGTAAAATTGTTTCAGAGCCTTAGCAGGAGGCCAAATAAAAACTGGTGATGTTACAGGAATCTCTGGGGAAATGTTTTTAGGTGTACAGTCATATTTCACAGGCTGCTATGTAGGCCAGAAGGCCTGTTTTGCGTGCTGCTTCTGAATAGCCAGCACCTGACATGAACCGAAAGGGTGCTCCAGATTATTCAGTGACATGAAGGAGAATTCATGGGTGCACGCTTGGAGCCACTTTTAAGCTTGCAATGGGCAGCAGCCAGGCTGGAAGTGGTGTGAGAGCCATGATTCATTATTTGCTTAAAACCAAAGGTCATCACAAAGGTCATCACATGACTCATGCATTGGTTCTGATGTGGCTGACAACCAAGCAGGAACTGACTACATGCCAGAGTTCTCTGTGGCACCACAGGTGATTCTGGGGTACATTGTCAGCCTATGACCTCTGGACTCGTTTGTCGGTGAGCTACCTTGCAAGGCTGGAGGGCTGGCCAGCGATGGCAAATCTTCATTTCCTTTCTCTGTGTGAAATTGTACATGCAGTCTGGCATTTACGCTCATCTCGCCATGCACAGTGTGCTTTCTCCTTCTGGCAGATATGACAAACTCCAGCCGTCTTCCTCATCTCCGCGGTTGGGAGTGGGAAGAAGACGGGCGGTTGTTTGGTTTTTGCATTGCCAAAGTACTCTGGGTCCCTTGGCTGCCCAGCAAACATATTGGCACCCTTTCCAGGACTGAACATGCAAAAGTGCAGGAGAAGGTGAGCAGCCAGGCAGGGACAAGGTCCTCTTGACCAGAATTCTTTGCTTGGCTGTCAGAAGTTTTGGACCCTTGCTGGTCATCACAGGACAGAACTAGTTGTTTGGCATCAAACCTGGGATTGGGAATTCTACGCTTGCTTCCAGCATTACAAGTGAAGGGCGCTTTGGCTGTTTAGCCTTCATCCCACTGAGCTGCTCCTTCCTGGTTGGTTTTTGTCTGCAGCCTGGTCCTGAGATCAGATTTGCCAGTCAGGAAAAGCAGCAGGGGGAGGATTAAGCCCCCTTGCAGATGCCCCCTCCTTGTCCTCACTTTTTGCTTTGAGAACACAGGGAGGATGGTAAATCTTGTATTTGCCCGTCAACAGTGAGTTCACTTCTGTTCCAGTTTCTGTAGCCCTCCTTTCTATTCCACATTGTTACAGAACTGTGTTTGAAAAATGCTAGCTGTCCTGGAATCCATACACAGCCGCTCCGTTTTCTATTAGTTTTGCAGGAAAATCTCGCAGTGCTGAACTGTCCAACTGCTTTTGAAACTTGAGAGTATTAAAAAAAGAAAGTAAGTTTGTGGTTCAGTGGTAGGAGTCCCTGCAGGGAAAGTGGTGAATCCCGCGTCTCTTGTGCTGTTGATTCATCTGGGTCTCTGCCATTATCTGCAAACAGCTCCAGTGTTTGTCCTTTCCCCATGGTCACCTCTGTCTTGCTGTTGCCTGACCAGCAAAAGGACCTTGGCATCATAGTGAATGGCTCCGTGAAAATGTAAGCATAGTGTAAAATAGTGTGCCAATCCAAAAGATTTTTTTGGGGGGTGGGGGGGTGGAATTCCATGCAATGAGTCGTTAGGAAGGGGACCAAGAATAAAGCTGCCAATATCATCATGCCTCCATGCACATCTATGGTGCAACATGGAACACTCTGCACGGTTCTAGTGGCCTCGCCTAACAAAAAAAGGCATTGCTGAGCTGGAAAGTGGTCAGAAAAGGAGCAAGCGAGATGATCGAGGGGCTGGAGCAACTCCCCTTTAAGGGAAGGTTACAATGCATGCGGCTTTTTGAATAAGAGGAGACATGACAGAAATGTATAAAATTATGCATGTTGGGGAGAAAGTAAAATAAAGTGAGCCTTTTCTCCTTTCACAATGCTAGAATCCAGGCTCATCCAATAAAGTTTAATGTTGGAAGATTCTGGACCGTGAATAGGGAGGCATTTAAACTGTGGAAGTTGCTAGTGCAAGATGCAGTGAGTCAGGAAAAGTTGGATGGCTTTCCAAGGGGATGAGACCAATTCATGAAGGATAAGGCCATGAGTAGGCAACCTAAGGCCCGGGGGCCGGATCCGGCCCCATCACCTTCTAAATCCGGCCCGTGGATGGTCCGGGAATCATCATGTTTTTACATGAGTAGAATGTGTGCTTTTATTTAAAATGCATCTCTGGGTTATTTGCGGGACATAGGAATTCGTTCATCTGGCCCCCCCACAAGGTCTGAGGGACAGTGGACCGGCCCCCTGCTGAAAAAGTTTGCTGACCCCTGGGTAAGGCCCTCAGTGGCTTCCTCCCACCCAGCTTCAGCTTTGTGGGGAGCAGAGTGGAGAGTCACCCCTGGGCTGCATGCACAAGGGAGTTGCCAAGGCAGCTTCCTTGCACCCGACCAGAGCTTCACTGCAGCTCTGCTCCCAGGTCAGGTCTGACCTGAGGGTGGAGTGGAGGACAGTTTAGATTTCAGCTCAGCATGCCTGTTACGCAAGCTCTTGCAAAGTTAGAAGATATGCATAATTTTGGTGCAGATTAAGCAAGTTTCCCCCGTTAACCTTTTTTAAAAAAACAAAAAACCCAAACTTTGTAGCAAGATAAATGATCCTGGACATAACTTTGCTTCGGTGCAAACTCTGGTGCTTGAGAACCAAAAGTAATTTGCATCTTAAATTGCCTTTATTCAGGAGGACCTGCTGTCTCCTTCTTGACAGCCACACTTGGGACTTAAAGATTGCCCTGTGTTTTTGCTTTTTTGGCCTCTAGAATGGATTCTCTCCAGCTTTCTCCTACGATTGCTATTCAAATGCCTTCTGTGCTGAGAAGAATCTGAATTTCCTGTCAGCAGTAGGTTTCCACGCTTTGTCTGGCTGCCACTTCATCACATGCTTTAATCGCCACATCCAGGCTTACACTGAGTAAGCTGGAGCCAGCCTCCTCCTAACTCCCAGGCCAGCCACCTCCTTCGGAGGCTGCTGTGGTCAGTTGATCTCCTTTGTTCCTTGGCAGCTGTAGTGACCTGGTCTGGTCTGCCTGCTTCCCCTCCTTTTCCTTTGCTAATGGACGGCTTGCTTTTACAAACCTTTGAATCAGAAGCAGTTCCAGGATTGCGCGCACGCACACACACACACACACACACGCGCAAAGACCACAATCTGCTCTGGAAATGCACCCCCCACAAAGCGCCCCCACCTCCAGGCAAGTTGTTCCTATTTCTATTCAGAACTGAGTTCAGGGGAAACTGATTGGCCTCATCCCTCCAGCCATTGGCTGCGCACTGTGCTCATCGGATGAGGACTGTGATGCCACAAATGCCACAAACTTCAGACAGTGTTGTAGTTTTTGTCCAGTGGATTGGGATTTTTTGAACAGTTTTTTAGCTGTATCAATGTTTTAAAAAACAACACCAACAATACCAAATAGCCTATCTGCAGTACTGAGGAGGAAGGGTGAGGAATTGGTCACCAGTCAACGTTGGAATTTGTGTTAGATATGGATCTATCTAAAAGATAGCAGTGGTGGGAGTAAACCAGCCTTATCCCATGAGTGGAAAAACGTGGCTGAGTTTTCTTTTGATGTACGTATGTACACACACACCCTTAGTTCATTAATAGTTAAACTTTCAGCTCATAGCTTAAACTCACCAGACCACGAAAAGCCTCCATTAGTTACTCATGCTCTGCTGCTCAACTAGAATATAATGCTGAAGGCTTTCTCTCCCCTGCCTCTGCTTCAACTTCTGAGGTGTTTTTTTGTGGGGGACTTAACTCCTGGAAAGTGGCTCAGATGGTTGGGTGCTTCTGGCGCTGTTCCCCTTTAGGTCTGTCTTCACATTATTTCTCCCTGAAAAACGCAATTCTTTATTATGTGGGTGGAAAGTTAATATCTTTCTCAGCCAAATGAAACTCTTTCCTCTCACAGCTTCCAGGTTCTTTGCATCACAATGTTTTGTGTCCACACAAAAGTGCTATATTAGCACAGTAGCACTACAGGTGTTATATGCTTGTAGGAATATTGCACCGATGGGTGGAGTCACAAATACAAGTATCATGACGGAAGAGTTGAAGCCCCCTCCACCCAACCCCCGCACTGCAAGGAATAAAAAAAAGTCTTTTGGTGGAGGTCAATATGTGACTTCATGTTATGACATCACTACGCTCTGTTCTTCCCTGCCAGCCAATCATCTGGAGTGGGAAACCATTTGATGTCATAATGTAAGGCCAATTTCATTAGGCGTTGCAGACAGAGAACTAGATCAGGGCCTACCATACAGTCCCATCTAATTTGTCTCTGTTCTGTAAACCCTTTTTCATTTGGGGTGGATTTTGGAACCCTATAGGAATACAGCATGAACTGAAATCTCTGCATCATTCAAGCTTGTAAACATCTCCCTGTCAAGTAAAATTTTTCCTCCCATCCTGAAAAGGAACATGCTACACAGCTTGGGAGAGAAATGATGCCCTCTTTCTTTTTATTTCTTTGATGTAACCAAAATAAATATGTGTGCGGTCATATATTCTGAAAAAGTGATGGGGAAACAGGACAATTGTATTTTAATAAAAACAACAACATGTGGGACATCACCTATAAACAGTAACAATAATTTTTCAGAACCCCCCCCAGCTGTCCTTGATTGCTAGATCGAGAGGGCTGGGCGAAAACAAGGATGGAGACATTCCATGGCAAAGCTGGGCATCATACTGTCTGATATGCCAGCCCCATACCAACTTCACAAGCAAAATAATCCTGGTGATGATAGGATTCTGGGGTGAAGGAGCCACCACTTTCTAAGCTCTGCTGGGTGGAAGGATGGGGTGGGGAACATGGTTTCCGCTCCATTTTTAAATGCCAAACCCTCCCATTGACACTAAAGGGAGATATAATTAAGTATACCAGTTCCAGGGCTGACAGAAGCTTGATTGTGGATTTTTTCGAGGGGGGGATCTCCCCTGCTCCTCCTCGTTTCTGGCCCCAGTGCCCATGGAAAATCACCAGTGGCAGAACCTGCTGCTTTGTTGCTATTATACGAACATAAAAACGGCCTGCCTGTTTGATCACTCCAGAGGTTCCTGCTCTCCACCATATGCCCATGGGGAGCCTGCAAAGAGCGCCTGAGTGCAACACTGGTGATTCCCAGCGCCTGGTATTCAGAAGCAGACCACTTCTGACAGCCCATCAGTGAACAGGATCCAGTCAAAATGAAGGGCATGCTTAACTTTCTCATGCTTTGCACACAAGTTACATATACAAGTGTCCACTACATTGATTTCCCTTCCTTCAAGGAACTCAGTGTCGCATGCGGTTGTCCTCCACAAAGCCCTCTCAAGATGCGCTGAAATGAGTCATGTTTATTAATTTCAGTGGGCGTATTCTGAGCAGAATTAGCACAGCATACCCCGCCCCCATGGTTATTATCTCATTTTAGCCTTACAATAGGTTTATGAGGCAGGTTAGCGGAGAGTGTGTGGCTGGCCTAAGACCACCCAATTCGCTTCGGCATCCAATGCACTGAGACATGCAGAATTAACACCCAGTGTGGTGTAGTGGTTAAGAGCGGTGGACTCGTAATCTGGTGAACCGGGTTCGCGTCTCTGCTCCTCCTCTGCTGGGTGACCTTGGTCTAGTCACACTTCTCTGAAATCTCTCAGTCTCACTCACCTTACAGAGTGTTTATTGTGGGGGAGGAAGGGAAAGGAGATTGTGAGCCACTTTGAGACTCCTTCGGGTAGTGATAAAGCGAGATATCAAATCCAAACTCTTCTTCACCCACCCACCCCTTCCTCTCCAAGGTGGGGGTTCAAATGCATGTTTTATATCACAAGCATAGGTTTAGAAAGGGGGGAAGCCACAAGCATAGGTTTAGAAAGGGGGGGAAACCCCAGTCTGTTTCAGGGGTTTAATCTGGCCTGCCGGTCGGTTTAATCTGGGCCCTGTGGCAGTTTATTTTCTGGGGCAAAATCCTAAAAAAAGCTCAACAACTTTGGGGTAAAATTGAAAAAACAACTTCAATCCTAAAAAAAGGTCAACTTTGGTCGGTCTTCACGCGTGTTCACTTCCTCAAATCTGGCCCTCTTTGACAATTTAGAGTGGGAAAACTGGGAATGGAGTACCTGCTGAATGCCTTTTCCGTGTTGTGCCTCCTGGGGTTGAAGGCTAGGTGATCAGGAAGCAACACATACCAGTTCAGCTGTTTTCACTTGTGTGCTCTGGGGAAGGGACATTCCCAGTCACTTGTCACCCTTTCCCCACACTCTGCCCCAACTGGTTCTCTGCAATGCTGAACTGGATTTTCCTGTTCCTGAGGGAAGAGGGCATTGAAATAGGCTGACCCACAGACAAAGATACGGGGAATTTTACATTATTGAGGACATAGCACTTACAGGGGTTCACTTACAAAGATTAAATAAGATTACAAAATAGCCTGGCAAAGACTTGGTGCCTTCCAAGAAGTGTGGAAATTGAAGAAATTTTGTGGTGTGTGTGTGTAGAATTAGTCTGAGCACATGGCAGCAGCATCCTTGCAATGGGAGAGACTTGCCACAAGGTGTGCATTCATGTCTTTCATTCTCTTCCCCCACCTCCAGGTTCTTACAAACTTTTAAGATATCTGGGCTCGTCCACAAACAGCAGCCTCCTGCTAGTGCCTTATTGCTAAGGAATTTCCCATTGTTTTATCCCTCCTGCAAGTTTTTGTTCTAATAAATCAGGCTTTTCCAACTTGGTGTCCTCCAAATGTTTTCTGGGCTATGCTGAAAATGTGGTTTTGTGGTTAAGACTAGGTGAGTCAGAAGAGTTGCAGTTCTGTTGATAGTTTGTTTTGTTGGAGGTCTGGGGAGAAGTTGAGTTTTACATCTTGAACCACAACAACAACAACAACAGGTTAAGAGAGCTTCCAGAAAGGGTTCGTACTGTTTCTGCCTATGCCTCAGCAGTGAATTCATCTTCCTGCTCTTTTTAAAAACACTTTCATTTTGAGAGTGGAACTTCATTTAAAAGCACAATAGTTGCCTTTTGCAACCGAAGAATTATCTTCTGAATGCTTCCCTTCCCCCACCTGATACTTGCTGGAAATGGCTCTTTTTCTCCCATGCATGTGGACAGTTGTTATGCAAATAAAAGGATTTTGAGGCCAGAAGCCTGGTGCCATGGCAAACACTTGCATTTCATGGAAATGTTTGGAGTAGCTGGTATTAACAGAGTTAGCTGGCTTGCGACAATGATCTGAAGAGAAACTTAACAGAGGATTGAGTTTGATCCACAGTGTGGAATTGTCATCTTTCAGGTTATTCCTTGGGGACCAATTTCCCTGTTATACAAGCCATTCCTTTGTTTAAAATGGCAATATGGGAATAGCTGCATAAGTGGGTACTCACATAAAAGTCACAGGTATACTGAGAATGGAATTTCAGCCAGAGTTTCTATTGTATTTGTTGTCAAAGGGCCTGTGCCTTTCACAGCTGCAGAACAGGCAGAAGTGAAACTGTCTTTTCCCAACGTGCAGATAGGGAAAGTCATATCTCCTGAATTTGTGCCTGTCGTGGGTGTTACAATGTCATAGTACCTCTGCCATGAAAGAGTGAACAAACATTGACTGATACATCACAACCAAATACCTGAAACCAGATCTTATCTGCAGCAGAACTGAGGGACGCTTCTGATTGCATGATTTTAAGAAAACTTGTTTGGAACATATTCTGTGGTACTTACACTGTAAGGATGGGGCTGTAAGTCACATGAGTCATCTCTATTTCTGAAACAACAACATGAAAAGTCTAGGCTTGTTTGCTTGCAAAACGGATTTTCTGTGTCACATGGTTCATTAAGTCTCATTTCCACCTCATTCCCACCCCCCCAAATATTTCGCACAACCCCTTTAGCTCAGTTGAGCTACTTAATGAATCCAGAGAGCAATAAATAAATAAATAATAAAATCAGAAACAATCCATGTGAATCCATGGAAAAAGTTAAGCAAGCAAGCAAACAAACAAACAAACAAACCCCAAGTCAATATTCTGAGTCTGGGTCCATCCACTTTTCCCATTGCTTAGTAGTTAGGAAGACTTGCTCCTGCAATGGCATAGAACTCTCTGCATGAAGCTTCCAGCCTGGCAACTAGATTGACTGTTTGACAATATTTGATTGCATTTTATAATCGATGCCCCTTGACAGTATTTGACTGGTCAATTGACAGGCATGCCAACTCTATCAATATATAAACTTTTCCAACCAAGAGCATCTGCCTAGGCGTTCATAGGCAAGGCAGGGCTAAGTTGCTGTGGGTCTGATTTTCAGCAGTGCAAAGTCCCTAGCAGCCATTGCCATGTCACAACCCCTGCTAAGAGGCCACAACTAGTTTTTGACAACTTGGTCCTTTCCCTCTTGCTAGAGATGTGTCTACTGCCCTCCATGCCAGTTTGATGCTACAGTAAAAATTTTGTGAACTGCTGACTGTCTGTCTTCAACAAGTATGCAAGAAAGTTGGTTTTCTGTATTGCTGAGAATCGGTGGTTTGTTCTGCCTTTGAAGGGTTCCATATACAGTGAAAGCTTGCACATGTTTCACCAATATAAGTTTAAAACATGCCCTCACTTTGTGTCTCTGAAAATGGCAGTGCACTGCTCATTCCATCCCTCTGCTCATCCCGACCCTCAAGTTTGTAACCAGAATTCCCAGATTTTGCTGTTAGAGCAATTATGGGAATAGGGTGACTATTTTAAATGCTTCTAAGAACATTGAAGTAATTTCTGCTTGCAAAATAGGGACTTGGGATTGTTCATCAGGACTAGTCTGACACTTGGGATATAATTAGAAATGTAAAATTTCCAGAAATGTTGAAGAGTAAAAAAAATAAGGAAGTGTAGAAGTATAGATAGAGTATTATTCCAGTTTTTTAAAAATACATGGGCCACTATTTATCGGTGATACTGTACTAAGTCATATTCAGAGGTCCAATGATTTCAGCAGAATTTCTCTCTGTGCTGAATACTGGATCTCACCAAATCACTTTTAATTAAGGGGAGGAAAAAAATTAAAGATGTGCTTACTTCCACATTGAAGTAAATTGGACTTCAAATAGCAAGGGGCGTAGAGTTCAGCTCCTTTATGGCATGCATTGCAGCCCTATTGGAGAAGGATGTTGGGGTTCGTTTCAGGATCTAGTTGACTTTTCCAACCCTGAAAAACGGCCAGCCGATGGAAAAGCCCATAAATTTGAGTCATTTAAGGTCCCCAGCATCTTCTGACACATTAATTCTGTGACAGCGGCCAGCATCTGTCACAGTGCGGGTCTCTTGGGATTCAATAGGGATGCCTGCTGCACTGCCGCAGTGCTAATCTCTTAGCAGACAAGGGGTGAGTGTGTTTAGACAAGCTCAAGAGCTCCCTCCTTTCATTCCCCCAACAGATTCCCAAAGGAAATTAATGGGTGGAGCAAGGAATCCCTTTAAAATGGTTGTATAGTATTTTCATTTTTAAAAAAGCTGCCTTGGCGGTCCCTTAGGACGAAAACTGGAGTGTTCAATGGCTGACTGGCTGGCTCACTCAGACGTATTTGTTGAAGGTGGCAGTCCTGATTATTTTTGCTGCACAGGTAAAGCACCTGTTGGAAATACTGGAAGTTCATCATGCTAATAATTAAGGAAGCAATCCTAACTGGGGCTGGGGTGATGTGGAATAGCAGATTTTCCACAGCAGCCCTATAATCTATTCCAGCATTTTAGGGGAGTGTGTGCGTATGTGTGTGTGTGTGTAGCACACCAATTCTAGGCAGTGTAATGCTCTTCTTTGGGGCTTTAGGTTAACTAGACTTTTCAGTGAGTGAAGGTCCACACCACCAGCGGAGCCCCTAGAGCAGGCATGGCTAAACTTGGCCCTCCAGCTGTTTTAGGACTACAATTCCCATCATCTCTGACCACTGGTCATGTTAGCTAGTGATGATGGGAGTTGTAGTCCCAAAACAGCTGGA